TCAGGAATCAGAATACACTAGACCAAAGGTTTCGAACTCATTTTGGTTCGGGGGCCGAATCCAAACTACTTTGATCCCAAAGGGGCCGGATCAGAAAAAACTCATGTCATATAAACCCCAAAAAATAACAATAAGTTCAAATATTTGTGCAGAGAAACACAAATCTATTACAGAAATCTTTTTTAATTGATGAACTCTTTCTTTTACAAAATATTATAATATCATGAACAACCTGAAACTTAAAGAAAAATGCAATTTCAACACAATGTTTTAACATGAACTTGTGTGTAAACAGGAATAAGTCAATTTTTGTTGTAAAATCCTGCACTCGGCTCCACTTTTCTCATTTTGGACATTTTGTTGATGAGGGTGTCACGGTCAACAGTCAAAACGATCGTCCTTTAAGAGCGTTTGGAAAGAGACAAGTCTTCATTTGTGCTGCTCTGGTGGGAGGGGCCACGTACAGAGACACTGCTATGATAAGCGGTGCAGAAAATTACCAATATTTTAATAGAAAATACAATTAAAATATTTTAGTAGAAAATCAGCCGAGGGCCAGATTAAAGGTCTTGGAGGGCCGGATCTGGCCCCCGGGCCGTATGTTTGACACCTGTGCACTAGACGGTTCGCAAAAACCCTGGAAGTGCACGTTCGGACACCAGTCAATCAGCCAAGAGTGATATACTCGGTGTTGGCTGAGGATTTAAAGCCAGATTAAAGAGAATATTTGGTGAATTTCATCAGGGGGAAAGACGTTATTGTCCTTCTTCCTACGGGATTTAAGAAAAGCTTAATATACCAGTTAGCCCTGTTAGCAGCGCATTACATACGTCATGACCAAAAAGCAGCGATTGGTTAAATAAAAAAGGTACCTGCCTACTGTCGAGCGAACGCTGGAATTCGAACACTGCGAGGTCAGACAGTTTAAGATAAGATAAGATAAGTAATCCTTTATTGTCTCCTACTCAAAAAAACAGGACAACACAACACAAAGCAGCACATAAACAAAACACCATAAAACAAAGTAAATATGAGACAAGTGTGACCACGAGTGATGCACCAACACGACCCTTAAAATTATCCTTAACAGGCAACCCTTGCATTCTTCTGTTCTATTAATTATTGCACATTCCCTAAGCCTATGTTTCATTGATTGCACATTCCCAGCCTATGTGCAGATTTAATTAGCACATTCCCTATACCTATGTCAGTTTTGAGCACAATCCCTAAGCCTTTTATTTACAAACCTACAAAGTGAAACGATCTGATGAATCAGGGTAGTTCTCTCTACCAAAGAGAATGAATGTCAAAAGGCTTCTATCGCTCTCTACTGACTCCTCTCGTTTCCTTAGCATAATGACGCTTGAACTAAGTCAGTGACTAAAATAAGTTTTAACGGCAATTTTGTTAGAGACTTAATAATCCATTTAATTTATTGTTTTGGTTGGTTTGGTTCGACAATGGTTTATTGAAGTCCTTGCTGTGAGCCAGACTACATTAAGCTATTCTTATGTTTACAGGTCTATTCTATTCAGGTCTGTTGTTTTTGGTTGTCTTGCAGTTCCTGTGTTAAATGTTCTTTAGAAAGTAAAGTTTATTGATCTTTGAAAGGGTGTATTTGCATTTTTATTAGTTGAAATTGGTCTCAAAATGTCAATATTATCGTTTATCGCAATCATTTCTTGGTCAATTAATCGTCCCGCAAAATCTGTTTCTATAGTTACAGGCCTAGTGTTTTTATTGTTTAAAAAAAAAAAAAAAAAACATAAGCAGGGTCACTTCTCCACAGATCTGACAACAATCTAACTTGGCTTGGAGATAGATATGTTTAATGCAATACTGTGGAGCATTCTGGACTACAAAAGTTACACAGAGCGCCTTCAAGTCATTACTTTGTGCTTCTATTTGACAAACATTATTTCAGTGTATCAGTCCTCGTTCATAATAACACATTTGCGCCCGATACTTAAAGGTTGTATGGAGGATTTTTTTTGTTTCAAGTTGTCAATGATAGCATTATAGAGGTGCAGTAGCCTTGTAATTATGATGACCAAAAAAAGAGAATAAAAATTCATCAACTCTGGACGTGGTGGGGCTAAACATTTGCCAATAGATAACGACACTGCCTCGTTATCTGTGAGCTGACAGGCTGTCAATCAAACTCCCTACGTTTCTAGCGTAACTGACTTGCCTGCGCGCTGCCGGTACGTGGTTTACGTACGCCTGTCATGCAGTCCACAGACGCAAGACGCACAGACGCTGTTTACTCCACCAACGCAACAGTTCTTAGCGGCTTTTTTTGACCTATATCTTCCTCGCAGTTCGCACAAAGTTTGTTGCAATGGCGACAAGAATCCAGGAGCAGTTCGCCGCAAAAGAAAGTCCGTTTTTGAGGTCGCTGAAAGAAGAAGACAAGGGGAAAAAGCAGCGAAGCCAAACTAAGGTGATTCTTATAGATTCATTCCAGCGATGGCGCGACTGAAGCAGACGCAGGGTCTAAAGACTGACGCACTGGTCCACAAATTACTCCTGGACAGGAAACTTCTGCTTATTATGAAAACATACTTTATTTCCAAGAGCTAGACAAACGTTTTTTCAGGACACGAAAGCGATATCCTATGTCTGAAAACGTAATTTTCAAGGCAAAGAAAGCTTGCTGCTGCGTGTTGTAGCTAGTTCATGCGCACTGAATTTCTGCGCACTCTTCTCTGCACCCCTTTCCTGCTCCTGTCCCCGCTGCCCGATCCGCTCTTCCCCCTCTCCTCACTTCTCCGGGCACGGAATCTCCGCGCACCGCTCCCCTCTCCCCTCTCCTCTCTCTCTCCTCTCCCTGCTCCTCTCTTCTCCCTGCTCCTCACTTCTCGTCCGCGAACGAAATGTCCGCGCCCCCCGCCCCCCGCTCCTCACTTCTCCGTCTTGCCTAACCAACACTGTAGTTAGTTGTTTACAAGTCATGTGCAGCACCGGCTGTAAACAAACCTGTTTCTGGCGTAAGGAGGAGGCGGGAGGAGGCGTTTCTACGTAGGAGCTGTAGGGGAGGGGGGGTGGTTTCACGCATGCGCAACATTTGAAAAAGGACAGTCGCTGGATTTCTCGTTCCTTGGAAAATCCTCTATACAACCTTTAACGTTCATTTGAATAAGACTCCCACTAAATTTCTATATATGGTTCAAACAGAGTGTGTCCTTTGAAGGCCTCCATAGCTCTGGGCGTTTGAAGCTTAAGTCCTCCAGGCTTTGTGGTCCTCAGCCGCCTCAGTGTCCCCCTCGTGAACAAGGATCCTGGGTCAACCCACCTGACCCTGCCCCCCCCTCGTCCTCCTCCGGAGCTCCACGGGCTCCACGGCTCTCACACAATTACACAGGATTAGGTGGTCACTGGTTTCCACTTGAGGCCAGACTAAAAATAGCTTCGGTGACACGTTTTACTGAGGAATTTCACACACTGTGGTCTGCTTTGTTGCACAGCGGCGAATGTTATTTTATATGAAGGTCTGAATCTCACTTAATTTGACGCACTCATAACTGAATCTGGTTTAATGAACACATTTTTTTAAGATTTAATGTTTTTAAGATTTCAAAAAATGAAAACGTGTAAGGGTAATCGTCAAGGTTGGATCCACAGCAGAGGCAAATCAATTCTGTTCCATCAAAAACTTTTGTCCAATTGACATTCTGAGTTGAAATTCTCCTTTTCTTTTCTTAAGATGTTTTTTTCACGTGTCCATGCTCTCAAACTACCCTCGAACAATATTTTTTAAGCAGTTAACACTCCAAGGTTACAGGTCAGATCTCTGAAAAGATTAACCCATACAGATAAATAACTTTAATTCCCTACTTGATTTCAGACAAAGCAGGTTCAGACTCTCCACCAGGCTCCACTAGGGCTAAGCAGACGTTTTTCACAACGGCTGGAAGTGCCGTGATGTCGGGTAAATGTCACTTCCGGTTAATGCTTTTCTATGGCAAAATATCTGTGGAAATGTCTCGCGTATTTTCCCCCAGCTTCATAAATCTGCTGGCCGGGCTGGTGCCACCTCGTGCCTCAGCTAAAGTTCATTTCTGTCCAGCGACTAGATCAGGAATCAAAATACAATAGACGGTTCGCAAAAACCCCGGAAGTGCGAGTTGGGGCACCAGCCAATGAGCGAAGAGTGATATATTCAGTGTTGTCAATGATTCCTGAGATCGAGGATTTAAAGCCGGAACAAAGAGAATGTTTGGTGAATTTCATCAAGAGGAAAGACGTTATTGTCCTTCTTCCTACGGGATTTGGGAAAAGCTTAATATACCAGTTATCCCCGACCAAATAGCAGCGATTAGTTACATGATAAAAACTACTACTTTATGCTGTGGTCCAAAGCAAGAAAAATGTCTGATGAAGGCTTTTTTTTTGCCAAAACGTTATTTTGAAAATAAAAAAAGCTTCTGGACATCGGCCACCTGAGTGTGCTATGCATTTTTTCATTTTTGTCTGGCTGCTCCTTGCATTTGCACCGCTGCAAGAATTTTGGTGTGCGTTTTCTGTTTCTTTTGAAAAACTACCCGCCTACCATCGAGCGAACGGAATCTAAGGCTGCAAGGTCAGATGGTTTCTATGAAGTGAAACCGGCTGATAAATCTGCCCCATCACCAAATCTTAGCGTTAGTTTTGCTCAGTAGTTCACTAATGCTCGTCGCTGTTCGCCTTAAAGTTTTCGTCTTTCTTACCTTGACAGTTGTGGATAAATTCTTTATGGACAGAATATTTCCTTTGTCGGTTTTGTTGGATGAAGATTTGGTGATGGGGCAGATTTATGAAGCTGGTGGAAAATACGTGAGACATTTCCACAGATATTTTGCCATAGAAAATCATTAACCAGAAGTGACGTTTACCCTACATCGAGGCACTTCCGGCCCTTGTGAAAAAGATCAGTTGTTTAAAAATTACTAAATCAATTCTTAGTTTTACAAGTGCAGCATGTGTATATGACATATCTGTGTACTGTGCCGTGTGCTCACCGTCCTCTGGGTCGAGTATCTGCACGCGGGCCTCGTGAGGAGACTCCAGCACGGCCATGACCGCCTCCGACAAAACGATGTGGAAGTCCTCTGACACCTCGTACTCCAGGTCAGACAGGAGCCTCACCCGCCACACAGCGCTGCTCTGGCCCGGGTTAAACTGCACCTGCCGCTGGGCTTTACCGCGGAAGTCCTTGTCCTTCACCGCTGTGCCGTCTCTGGTGCCGATACCTGAGGAAGAGGAGAGAGGAGGCTCAGTCAACACATGGTCTCTGGTTGAGGTTATGAGGTTATGGTCGCACCAAATGAAGAAAAAAATGACTTGGATTGGGAATTTGTTGTTGAATATTTGGCAAGTACAAATTTCTCGAATTAAAAAAAACAATCATGATTTGAGAGATTTGCCTTGTCAAAGAAAATTATCCAACAATGGAGCAAGATATTTTCTCTTAAAACAAGAAATAGAAGATTTATTTTCCTAATTTAAGTGAATTTTAATCGTATTTATGTTTGATCATTAAAACAGACTTGGAGTTGAGCTTTTTTTTTATTCACACGTTTAGCCCTGCACATTTAGGGCCCGTCCACACGACAATGTTTTTGGTGAAGTTTGTATTCATTTTGGTCTTTCGTCCACAGGGAGCCGGTGTTTTGGGTGGGCGAAAACTGTTTTTTGAGAACGGTTCCAGAGTGGAGAAATCTGAACGCCGGCGTTGGGTTTTCGTGTGGACAAACAAACCGCAGCTTTTGGAAAACGATGACGTCGCGACCCCATCATCTCCAGGGTCCTCCGATGCTGCAGCCCTCGAACTAACCTCAGCGAACCATAAGACACTTGCCAAAATGTGACAGGTGTAGCCTACAGAACTGCTCCTGTCGCCCAGCAACCAAGACACACTGCTAACGCCAACACTAACAACATGCACCACGCAGATTATGCACAAGTAATTAAACTTTTGGATTTAGATCTAATAATTTGAATCATTCTCATCCAAATCTTATGGATAAAAATGAAAACTTATGTTTAACTTTTGCTAAAGAAAATGGCTATATTTCTGGGTTACATCTAAAATAGACTAAATGACCTTAAAGTATTTAAATAAAAAAAAAAACGGTGATGAGTTCTGCATTATTAAATATTATTATCATTGTTAACAGCGCCACATGCAGGTGTGACATATGTATTACATCGTTTTCACTCTGCGCTCCGTTGTCGTCTGGACATGAATCCAGAGTGGGAAAAAAAAAAATCCAGGAGCGTTGTCATGTGGACGTAGCCTTACAGTTCTTCTCTCAAGCCAAAAACACTCTGCTCCACCTCGTGACGTCATGTGGTGATACAGGAAGTGCTCCACTGTGTTTTTAAACCCCATACACCTTCACTAGAATCATGTGGATGATTTCAGCCCTGGAGTTGTCAATCTCTGCTGAAGAAAAGGTAAAATGTAAATGTTTAACTTGAAAACTACCGCTACATGACATCATAAGGTGTAACAGAGCATTTTGAGCTTTGGAGGTGTAGACAGACTAATAATAAACGATCACTTCAAAAGCTCCAGGAATGTTTTTGATGAGGTTAAAGCATTATAACATGGCTTAAGGCTCACAGAAGTAAAAATTGTGTAACATAGGACCTTTAAATATATGTTCTAAGCCACACATTCATTTAATTTATTCATTTATTTATGTATTTTTGTTTAAACTCTGAATACATTTTGGTATTTTTCACGAACAGGAAAAATGTCAGAAAAAAAAAAATGTTTGTAACTACTCTTTATCTTCCTCACTGACAATAAAAAGCTTTAAAAAGACATATTGGTTTAATTGTTTCTCAGAATAAGAAGAAAAGCGGCCCATTACTCCTTTGGCCCCTGCACCCTCGCTCCCCAGGGGTCCGACCTGCACTTCCCCGTCCTGCTTGAAGGGCCGTTCTGTGTGGGCCCCTATGCCTGTGACAAAACCTCTATCCGGGGCTGGACTCCTGGTGAGGGGAGGATGAAAAAGAGAAATTACCCCGCTGTTTGTAACGACTGCGCGACGGGAGGCTATAGGGTCAAAGCTAACAGCCATATGTCCTCCGCAGGCTCCCGTAGGTAAACAAACAGCGGGGGGGACTGTCTGAAATGAATAGTTTGCGTTCAATTTGAAGGTTTTGAAATTGTAAAAAGGGCAAAACGCTGAACAAATATGCATAAACCAAGTCAAGATATCCAGCCTACATTTTGACAGCAATGAAAATAATAAATAGAAAGTAAGATTAAGAGTTAACTTACATTACACAAAAATGACTCTTGTGAGCTTTAAGACATGTTAGAATATTGTTACGTCCTCAAAAACAGACCTTGGAGTTGTGTATTTGATGTTTGAGTAACCTTTTAATATTAGTCTGTCTACATCTCCAAAGCTCAAAACTCTCTGTTCAACCTTGTGATGTCATGAAGCAGTACCATATTTTTCAGGTTATAAGGCGCAATATTAATAATGTTGGATTCTCTCGTCTATTTTCAAACTTAAGGTGCATCAGATTATAAGGTGCATTAAGTGAAACAAACGGACGACACTTGAGACTGATCCTTTAGTCCAGGCGTCCACGATCCATTGGCAGATTGTGACGTAATTCGCCCGGCGTTGCCTCCCTGTTTTGGTGAATGTGGATTATGAATGTGAATGTGGGTGAATAATTTAAGTTTGTTTTTTTATTTCTTAAGAGGAGGACTCAAATGTAGCCAGGCTGGTGCCACCTACTGCCTCCGCTCAATTTCATTTCTCTCCAGCGACTAAGCCAGGAATCGGAATACACTAGACCAGGGGTGTCGAACTCATTTTGGACCGGGGGCCGTATCCAAACGACTTTGATCTCAAAGGGGCCGGATCAGAAAACTCATGTCATATAAACCCCAAAAATAACAAGAAGTTCAAATATTTGTGCAGAGAAACACAAATCTATTACAGAAATCTTTTTTAATTGATGAATTCTTTCTTATTATAAGTTTATAATATTATGAACAACCTGAAACTTTAAGAAAAATTCAATTTCAACACAATGTTTTAACATGAACTTGTATGTAAACAGGAATAAGTCAATTTTTCTTGGAAAATCCTGCACTCGGCTCCACTTTTCTCATTTTTGACATTTTTTTGATGAGGGTGTCACGGTCAACAGTCAAAACGATCGTCCTTTAAGAGCGTTTGGAAAGAGACAAGTCTTCATTTGTGCTGCTCTGGTGGGAGGGGCCACGTACAGAGACGCTGGAGACGCTGCTGTGATAAACACCACAGAAAATGACCAATATTTTAATAGAAAATATAATTAAAATATTTTAGTAGAAAATCACCCAAGGGCCACATTAAAAGTCTTGGAGGGCCGGATCTGGCCCCCGGGCCTTATGTTTGACACCTGTGCACTAGACAGTTTGCAAGAATCTGGGAAATGTGAGTTCACGCACCAGCCAATCAGCGACGAGTCATACATTCTGTGTCGGCAACGATTCCCGAGATCGAGGATTTAAAGCCACAACAAAAAGAATGTTTGGTGAATTTCATCAAGGGGAAAGACGTTATTGTCCTTCTTTCTACGTGATTTGAGAAAAGCTTAATATACCAGTTAGCCGCGCATTACATATGTCACGACCAAAGAGTAGCAATTGGTTAAATAAAAAAGTACCCGAGTCAAGTCACGTGAACGAATTCTAATGCTGAGGTCAGACGGTTTCTACGAAGTGAAACTGGCTGATGAATCGGGCGAACTCAAATATACATTGACTAATAATATGTTTAATGCAGCTTTGCGCACATTTGTTTACGTTTTACAGAAACAAAACTTAAAATCACGTGGCTAATTTGCATAAACTATAAGCACTGAAAAAACTGCTCGCTTCTTGTGCGCTGATGCGGTTCAGCTTCTGACGGACTAACGGACACGACTCTGCGAGGCTCCAGACTACGGTAGCCTTAATGCCGTAACGCTCCGACAATCCATCAAGCGGTGCAGCATCGTAGCTTACCAAAATCGTACTAAAACATCTGAGCGCCGTGTACCACATAAAATCAGTTTGAGGTCAGTAAGCACAATCAGAAATAATACATAGGGCGCACGGAATTATAAGGCGAACTGTCGATTTTTGCGAAAATTAAAGGATTTTAAGTGCACCTTATAGTCCTAAAAATAGAATAGAATACAATACAATAGAAAGCCTTTATTGTCATTATACAGCACAGGTGTCAAACATCCGGCCCGGGGGCCAGATCCGGCCCTCCAAGACCTTTCATCTGGCCCTCGGCTGATTTTCTACTAAAATATTTTAATTCTATTTTTTATTAAAATATTGTTAATTTTCTGTGGTGTTTATCACAGCAGCGTCTCCAGCGTCTCTGTACGTGGCCCCTCCCACCAGAGCAGCACAAATGAAGACTTGTCTCTTTCCAAACGCTCTTAAAGGACGATCGTTTTGACTGTTGACCGTGACACCCTCATCAATAAAATGTCAAAAATGAGAAAAGTGGAGCCGAGTGCAGGATTTTCCAAGAAAAATTGACTTATTCCTGTTTACATACAAGTTCATGTTAAAACATTGTGTTGAAATTGAATTTTTCTTAAAGTTTCAGGTTGTTCATAATATTATAAACTTATAATAAGAAAGAATTCATCAATTAAAAAAGATTTCTGTAATAGATTTGTGTTTCTCTGCACAAATATTTGAACTTATTGTTATTTTTGGGGTTTATATGACATGAGTTTTCTGATCCGGCCCCTTTGGGATCAAAGTCAGTTGGATACGGCCCCCGGACCAAAATGAGTTTGACACCCCTGTTATACAGTATAATAAAATTCAGAGCTGCTCCGTCAAAGTGCAAGAATTAATAATAAATAAACAAATTAAAAGTTCTCATTTAGTATGGTCAAAGCTTTGGGGAAGACGCTATCCCTGAGTATACAGTAAAATACGGTGGTTTTCAAGATAACAGCTACATTTTACCTTTTGTTTAGTAGAAATTGACAATTCCAGGGTTGAAATCATCCAAGTGAAGGTGTGTGGAGTTTAAATAAACAGGCAAAGCACAACTCCAGGTCTGTTTGCGAAGAGGAAACAACATTATAACAGATCAGAAAATAGAGTAATATGAGCCTTGAACTGTTTATCTTATTCTATCCTCTGAGCCGTGCAGCTTCAGAACCTGGGACTCGGCTGGCCTCAGATCAGCGCTACACACGGGCAGATGGAGAAGTATTT